AGAAAGTATGATAAGACAGTTCATCAGTTGAGATAAAGACAAGGAGGATGCTTAGCAATTACCATCACAGCCAAGACAGACTTGACCTGAGGAAAATTAATTTATTGCTGATATAAAATAGAGTAGGATCATGACAAATGAAGGTAAAACCAAAAACATTGTCCTCCCACTCCTCTCTTCTTCCCAGGCTTAACTTCATTCCTGCACATTCTACCTCCTCCACTCCGCCTTGAGCAGGGCAGGGAAGTAGGGAATGGGGTTGTGATGAGTTCATAACACCTCATCTCTGCTGCTCCTCCCTCCTTATGATTTTCACCTCCTCCAGCGTGGTATCTCTCCTATGGGATCCAGTTCATGAAGTACTCCAGCATGGATCCATTCGTTCAAGAACAGACTGCTCCAGTGTGGGTCCCCCACGGGCTGCCAGAAAACCTGCTCGAACCTGGGCTCCTCTCTGCAGGCCACAGGTCCTGCCAGAAGCCTGCTCCAGCATGGCATCTCCCTGGGCTGCAGGTGGATGTCTATTCCAACATGGACCTCCATGGGCTGCAGGGGGGCCGCCTGCCTCACCATGTCTTTACCACGGGCTGCGGGGGAATCTCTGCTCCAGGGCCTGGAGCACCTCCTTCTTCACCTATGTCTGCAGTTGTTTGTCTCACATTCTTCTCACTCCCTTCTCACAGCTGCTGTGCAACATTTTGTACCCTTTCTCTAATACGCTTTCCAGAAGCTCCACCAGCTTGGCTGACAGGCTCAGCAGTGTCCTGTGGTGGGTTGGTTGGGGCTAGCTGTGTCCAACATGGTGCAGCTGCTGGCCTCTTCTCACAGAGGCCACCCCTAGAGCCTCACCACTGCCAACACTTTGCCATGTACACCCAATACAGCTATTTTAAATTCTTGCATCCCAAGAATAACTAAATCCCCAAACTTGTTCTATGGCTGAAACAATTCATAGGAGGAATTACATGAACTCAGTCATCTTTATATTCTTCATATTCATAAATTGGAAGGCTATTAACTCTGAAAACCTGCTGCTCCAGGGGCGGTTCTGGGGCTAAGCCACAGCAACAGATCTCTGTAAATCTGACAAAGTGAAGAGGCAGAAAGTCAGGCCCAGGATGCAAAGACCCGAACGCTCTACAGGTCATTTGATACTAGAAGGGCAGATCTATTGTCTGCATAGATAGGGAGTTAAGTTTTAAAGAAGCCTCAAAACATAAGTCTTCAGTGTTCACAGGGAAACCACACCACATTCTGCATCTCCAGTTGGCTGTGGCACAAATTTTTTCTGTGAGATGGACTTAGACCTTGAAAACAAGACTTAAGAGCGGGACAGGGATCCTCCAGTACCAAAGCATCAAGACAGAACCTTTCTTATCTGTCAGTCGCCTTGGAAAGAAAGCACTACAGCATGGGACAGGACCAACCTTAATCTTGCCCAGTGATTAAAGGATTACTGCTTCAGAATTAAGTATTTATATCCTTATACCTATGGTGGAGACCCTAGTAAGAAGAAAGTCCCCTTGCTGCTGTACCTTGCTGGAGCCTGCTTTCTCACTGCCATCTCAAAGGGCAGTTCAGGATTTCAGTCAGTTGGCCAGGTGACAATTTTAGTGCACCATTTTCTCTGTTGCTTATTCTGCACCTTTACCCTGCCAGGTAGCCATTCAAGATTAATGACTAATCCCAATAATAAAAACAAAACAACATAAACCAAAACATACCCTGAAATTGCGTTGTTTCTAAGATGCTTGCCAGTGATACAATCAGATAGTTTATGAAAAAGCAGGTATCTACAAAATTAAAATTTCTGTCTTCAGCAGCACTTCCTTTTGTTATTTATTGACTCAAGTGGACAAAGTCACCATCATCACTTATCTTTACAATCTAGAACCTATGTTGAGTGCAAAAAAATGTTTTTACTCCACAGAGGAGCATCTCGGCGCAAAGCTTTCCTTTCTCCTCAGTAAAAGCTAATACATTGTGTTTATTACATATTATGAGCTCCTCTTGGTTATTCTTACTTTCATTCTTTTGGAATGAACTCTTATTCTCAGTTCATGACCAGTAGATACTGGGTCTGGCTTTTTTTTCCCTACCATCGGAAATTCTGAACATAGTCAGGTTTTCTGCCTCACTTTTTCAGAAAACTGTACCATAACTCCACTACTTCATTTTATTATTTCTATCTGCCAGCTTCTAAATAGACAATACACTAAGCCTTGCTAACAATAAAGGATAATTTTGTGTATTAATACCCTTTTAAGGCAGAAAACTGAATGAGTGAACAAAGCCAGAGATTAATGATTCCCAGCAAGACAGTTTCAATCTTCTATAATGATATGTGGGTAATGTAGTGAAAACTCGTAAAAGTTGCTGTTGCTATCCTTTTTACACTTTCGAGCATAGCCTTTGAATAATTGTAGATTTCTCTAACGCTTCTGCTATTATTGTTGATTTATTTTGTTCTTACAGCTTAAAAGGTTACTTTGTTTTTTAATTCATTTATTACAGTTTAAGTTGGACGTCTTGCTTGTATAAGTTAAAAAGGATCTTGCCTTTTGTTTCTCACACTTAAAGGACTAGTTGCTCTGCCACTAGGCAATCTTCCATACAAATAAGAAAAAAATGCCAGTCCTCTCCCATCACAAAATAGTGGCTGTTTACATGGAATCACTTTGATTAACATGATTGTGCATTTGAAGTAGTGTAAAGTTGTGTTGATTATTTTAATTTATTAACAAAAATATTCCTCTCAAATTCCAGGTCTGGGTGGAACATTAAGAAGCACCAGAAGAAGTTTGCTCAAATCAAAGTAAATGTGCAGATACCCATACTCATTAAAAAAGTCCGTTTGAACAGGTCAGTCTTTAGTGGAGAAACCAGAGGAACAATGTGGCATCAAAATTCATTAAAATGTTCAAAAAGGACTTCTAAAAGTCAGTCTCAAATAGAAGTAAACTTCACAGTTGATTGCATGGGGGTGGCGTGGGTGGAACCAGTGCCAAAGTATATAGGTTTTTTAACTGTCAGGCTGCAAAACCATTTACACAAATTGTATAAATGAGGTTATGCAAATCATAACTGATTCCAGAAAAATAATGTGCAGAAATCTGTAGTTAACATCTAACCAGAATATGGAAGTGTTAAGTAGACACCACCTTATTTACCCAGCTGCATTCTGTTGTGCATACACAGCTGTATTGTGCATAAGCAGCTCTGCACTCTGAATTTGGAAGAGAAATCAAGGAATTCACAGGGCAGTAAACTACTAAAACACAAAGAGCAGAGCCTGAAAAAATGCTTAGTAGCCTGGTAACTTTCCCAGGGTGCCAATCCTGAAATGAATTAAAATGGCAAAGTATTGATATTAGCAGAGAAAAGAGGTAAGCGATGTAAGATGCCTGTGCAGACACTCACTAAAAGAGTTGGATATTTTTTTAAAAAAATATGCTTGTAAGTGTGCAAAAAATGTTAAAATCTTTTATTATCCAGTGCTTGAGGATAAAAACATACCTGTTGTTTCCTTGACCTACTCTTACTTCTCCTTTTAGACCTTAATGGTACTAAAATTGCAGCAGCCCAACCTCCTCCAAAATATCCTTACTAAATCTTATCCTTCCCCAAAACCAATGGAGTCCACTGGAGCAATCAGCAGCTCAACTGCTTACAGTATAAATATTAAAAAAAAATATTAATTTCTAAATAAGTAACTGACTGAGCAGAGAGAAAGAAGCTATTTTTTTTTCTGAAAAATTATATGCATAAGGAAGAATCTGACAGATTCAAAGTATGAAGAAAACTATTTTAAAAATGACAGTATTAAAAGCTGTAGCTGCAGGTAGGACTCCTACCCCCACCCTCCTAACTCTGTGGGACATTGTCTTCAAAGCATCAATACTTGAGCTGCTGTAAATGAGCTCCTACCTAAGCAACCAGCTTTCATGGGCAGTTTCATTACTGCAGTAATAGAGAACAAAAACATATTTGTTTTTATAAGGCTCCTTCCTCTATGAAAAGAGACACTACACAACAGAGGTTGGTTTATCAGCTGTAATACAGAACAGGTCCAGATATTAGTCATAAAATGTCAGTGTATCTATTTTAAACTATAATTTAATGTAGCCAACTCACACAGATTAACATCTGGTTTTTAAACTGCTAAAGCAAAGTTTTAGACTCTCCCTAATCAGCAGATGTACACAATATAAATCTTCACTGGGACCAGTCTCTCAGGCAACAGGATACAACACACAGGACACTGAACCAAGGGAACTGAAGAGTATTCATCCCAACTGCTCCAAGATCTTCAGTATACCTCTAATAAACTTGGTGCCAAAAAAATCACCTATGTTGGGGTATCCGTATAACACTTTCCTCTCATTAGCAGGAAAGAGGTAGCAATAAAGAAAAACTGCTCAATATTGAAAGTCTGCCTTTGTAATTTAACAACAGGAAAGAATTAAGTCTTCATGTATTAATTGTAACAACTTAGATGACTTCTGCAGCATAGTGATTCTCTTCTCTGCCCATCACCTCTTATTTGGATCAATTTTGCTTTTTTTATCATCAGTAAAATGTGCTTAATTGAGTTTTGAATTTTATTAATTCAAAGCAGACAAATGTATCACCTACACACTGCCAAATGCTTCTGCTGTTCGCCACTACTGAAACATTTTGCCTGCTCTGGAAACCGAGACTCCTTCACAGACTTGCATAAACTCTGGAGGGCAGTTTTTCTGTGTTTGGTAAAATAAATTTAAGCAGTATGCTTTATCTTAGCCAAGTTCCATCTTATCAGCATTGATATAAACTTGGAAAAAAGAACAAAGATTTGGCTTTGCAAGCAAACTTACTTCACAGGGGAAGTATTATACCAGTACATATGACTCAGCATTAAAACAATAAATCCTTTTTAATTATAAAACTGAAGAAACTGCTTCTTTGCGATCTGAAATCACATCACTACATTTTGCTCATGAGAACAAAGTTTACAGTCGTAAGTTGCACATAAAGGGTTTATTTTAAATGTTTTAAGGATAGAGTTACATCATAATTATAAAAATTACTTACAGAATTAAGTAACAGATTTAAAGTGTTTATACTTCTAAATGCAGAGAACAGGGAACTGTCTACATTGTTCAAAGTAAAATAAAAATAATGAAACCAAGCTCTAAAGATGAAGTTATTACCTAATTTTAAAATGTGAACACGAAGACCTTTGAACTATACACATACCAAGAACCATCCAAATTGCACTAATGATGTAAAATACAAAAAGCACAGCATTTTCAAGGAACCAGAAACTGTTTTTACCATAATTATTTTCCCTGATGCAACTAGTCAATTCTGTCTGAACATGAAGCCCCAGTTTTAAAATAATTCACTTAAAGAAGGCTTCTACCTGTTGCAATAAAAAGGGTTTTCCCCACAGTCTGCTCCAACATAGTTTAAGGTTTGGCACTCGAAAGAAGAAAAACGTAGTGTTTTGCAATTTTTTCTTTAACAGAATACATGGTCCCTTCAAATGCTGTATGACACATACAACTGGAAAATTACCTTCCGTTGGCACTATGCTCGTCTCACCGGTGCATTTAACCCTACTAACAACCATTAAAACAGCACAATAAGCAAATTCACAAAAAACTGAACACAAAATAAAAACAGAACAAAACAAAAACCTAAACATTTTAACATGCAACTTTGTTAAAAGTTCGTTACATTGAATGTTCTAACTCTCTAAGCATGCAAAAAAGGATGGTCTGCATTTAAGGTGTTTTTTTTCCCCTTTTAAAAAGTTTTACATGGCAGCCTGACATCACACACACGCACACACACAATATACAACAATACTACAGCAGGTAAATGTGAAAGGCGCATAACTTTTATACAAAGATCCATGGCTTGTGCCATCACAAGCCTTATGTGATTTTGGAAAGTAATGTTGAACCCCTATAACAAGGAACCAACATTTAGTTACCAGGGTAACGCAAGCACTGCATGCAGATCTGAAACATGAGCCTAAAACAAAGCCCAAAGCAGATGGGCAGGGAGTGGAATTAGTCTCAAGCCTCAAAAAGGTGGTTTAAGCTATTAAAAAAAAAAGGAAAGTAAAGATGAAAAGAAATACCTACGCAAGAGACAATGGGGACATCTAAAAACAACCATAAAATTTACAGTTTATAGATTATGCTCTAATTGGCAGAATACGTGGTGTATTCAAGAGGCTTGCAGAAAACCCACAAATGCAAGCCTAATGCTAAAAATGTTCCAGTAGACCTAAACCTCTGATATTTCAAAATAAACCTTGTATTCCTCAGATACATAGCCCAAAGTTCAGTGTACTAGGTTATTCATGTATCCTGTGTGTAATCAATACACTCACTCATTCTTGTGCCACAAATATCAACTTGGGCTCATGGAGCCAGGCTCAGCTTTGAGATTTACATGCAGGACTCTTAAGAGTCAATAGAAAACACATAACAGATCTGCAGGATGAAAACACTGTGTTGCAAATCTGCTCACTTGGTTCAAAACACAAGGAACATTTAGGACTCAGGTACTTAGTGCTTAAGGACTGCATTGAGAAGCTATTCACTAAAAGACAATAGCCTGCCTTTGGCTGCCCATGATGAAATACCGGACATAATGCAATATAGTAGCAATGGACAAAGAATTAAGGTATCCTATTTATATGGAGAGTATTTATTACCATTCAACAGCATAATGAGGCACAAGCCTTAAGGCTAAAATATGAAATCAGGCCAAAAAATGGACAGAAAGGGGCTCAAACCACTGAGTCTTCAATATCAAGAACACCCACAATAGAGGTCATCCGGACCTCCAGACTTTGATTAACAGCACCTCTCCTGCATCACTCCACTAATGGCATGCGGATGGATATCAGGGTATTTGTTCCTTCCATCAACAGTGTTGACTGTCTTCACATACTGTATTTCTGTGAAGTAGGTCTTTGAAACTTGCAGAGCTCTACCTTAATTTAACATAACAATTTTGTTGTTCTGCTGATCATGGTTGAAATTCTGATACTTTAAAAAGCTGCCATACTTAAAAACCTCTAATTTTCATTTACAACTATCTTTCAAGATTAAAACTGTGAAAGGATTTTGCTGTTGTGGGCTGCTATTTACATCCACAATCTAATGCAGATGATCGAAACACTGAGACTGCCTATAGCTTCCGTTAGATAGTACACCACTGGCATGCAGAACTCTAGTGTTCATAGAATGAAATTCACTTTAACGGCATACCTCAAAGCAAGTACAATGTACACCACAAAAGGCAACAACAGGTTTAAGCTGTAGATTCGTCCGGATACTCCTTATGTGGAAAAGCCAGAAAAAGAATAAATTGGGAAGATGCCTTCTTGAACCAAAATGATTAAAACCAAACCAACCAAAGGAATCCAACAGACTGAGCAGAAGGCAACAAATGCTTCTCCTTCTCTAAAGTAAGTCTTCAAGGTAAAAGGACAGCCCCTCCCACCCCCCCGGCATGAGATTTTGTATTTACCATGTAAAATATTAACTACTGTTAGGCTTCTAAGTCCACACACAAACATTCAGGTTGCTAGGTTCTGATATTAAATGAGAGACTACTGATTGCCAATGCGTAGTCTAATGTCTTCTGAAGTAGCATATATACTGTTAAAGTTGTGGCATCAAGCACTTGGGTTTTGCTAAGAAGTGCGTGTAACAAACAAAGAAAGAAGTACAACATTTAGGATTGAAGGCAGCCTTGTTGCATGTATTTTACTGGTTCCTACAACTTGTAAATACGGGCCGTTAACCTGGATTTTCTAATTAACTGGTTATACGGATTAAATACATTTTTATAGTTAAAGCCTTTTCACTGAAAGGTGCGTAAGTTGAACACTTGATATCCTACTGCCCTGTGACTAGTAAAAATGCACAAGTATTTCCATGTACTGCAAGTTCTTAAAAAACTAAATTTGAAATAAAGTGTAGAAACACAGCAGATTGATGTTACTTGGGTTAGGCATTCCTCAACACTGCACAAACTGTTTAAACCTTTCAGAAAAATCACGACTGTCTCAACCCTGAAAACAAGGACTGCCAGTAGCCAAGAAATTAAATTTAATGTTACAAAAGAAGGCATATCAAAATATCAAACTACACTTGCATGTGGCAGTTGAACAAGTGAGTGCAAGATTGAAGAAAAAGTTAAAATCTATGAAAAAATTTAGATCAATGATTACAATACTAGATCAACTTTACACAGCTTGAATTTGCAGCTGTTCTTTGCTTTTAACTCCCTCCTGCCCAAATATATTGACTTCCTTTAAGAAAAGGAGTTCTCTTACACAAAATGTGTCACGTTTGTTTATATTATTCAGAACAAAACAGTTTTGCTGGCAGAGATTGTGGGTTCGCAGGGACATTTAAGCTTTCATTAAACTGGAAAGCAGTCAAGTCTTTGTGTCTACAAATTTTACATTTCATAGTTCCACAAATTTGGCTAAAGTTCATGATGATGTCTAGGATGTCTTCACCAAATCGTAGACATAAATATGGAAATCATCATCAAACTTGATGAAATACACAGATGGTTTGGCTTCAACTTGATGAATGACCATGCCAGTCCTTTTTGAGCCATCTTCTTTGGCATATTCCACTTGTTTGCCTACCAGGCTGTCCACAACTTCACCCGGTTCCCGTTCTGCAGGAGGTGAATCATCTGTAACACAAAACCAGTGTACTTGGGTAGACATGAATGGTATTTTTCAACATGGAAGACAACTGCAGAGTCTTCTTTAAAACTCACATGAAACAATCAGAAGTTTTAAATACAGAGTACATAAAAAATTAGTTTTGTTTAGACCAGCACCTAGAATTGCCATGCTTCTATAAAGTACAGTTGCAGAAATATTTTCAAGTAATACTGTCTTCAGTTTTAAGACAAAAATAGCACTTTGATTGTCAAGAGAAGTAAATCTTTTGACGTGAAGGTTTACACATGAGTCACAGAAAATATCTGTGGATAACTGAATTTAAGCCACTAGCAGAAAAAGGCACTGGGTTTCCTTAGCAGAAAGGCAGCCAAACTAAAGCTCCCTCTTACCACACCTATTATTCAAAGTTTCAGTATATGCATGCCACTGCAACAAAAACACACTCTTCTAAAATGTCAGTAAGTGTAAACTCCTCATTAAAAGGGGCTTTTGACTCCAAACTGGAACAATGCTGTTGGTAAAGTCTAACCGTATTATTTTCTTGTCTAGCCATGCCTAGCCAGAAACACCTTTTTATTTTAGATGATACCTATGACAAATCTGGATACAAAAAGCTGTGATTTCTAACATGCCAATTGCCAAGGTGTTGGTTACAAGCCAACCACAGAAGAAACACGATAAAAGGTAGAAGAAATACTGGAGAACTGGAAGCTCCACTGTACTGGACAACTGGAAGCTAACCACACCTTTCTCAGCTTGTCTCCTTTTTTGACTAGTTTAGATAAACTTGTGTTTCGTATTCCAGTGAGGAATTTTATATTAGTAATGGTCACACCTGATGTGGCTGTTATTCTGGAAATACTAAGCTTTTAAATTAATGTTTTCGTTCCAAGTTTGTGTTAAGAATCCCTTACAGATTTCACCCGTTTTCTTTTCAGTTCTCTGAGTTGTGAACAAACTCCCAAAGGAGGAAAAAAAAACCCCACCACAACAGGGAATGAACAGATTGGTTTGTACTTACACTTAAGATTCTTCCACAAACTTAAGAAGTTTCTCTTTCAACTTTTGTTTCAGTTCCTCTAGAAATGCACTGCCATATGTAGTTATTATCCTCCTACTATCAGTTTTATGTAAAGAGTCTTCCTTGGCAAAGATGCAAGTTAAACTTTTACATTTTCATTTAGAAGGAATTAGGAACTCTTGATGAAGTTTTGGTATCAGATCCAGCAAGACATTTTCCCCTCAATAAAAAAAGCTTAAAAGACTTTATCTAAATTTGGGCAAGTTTCACCAAATTTACAGACATACTTCCAGGTGTTCTACAATCTGATTTGAAAAATACTACTCTTCTAATCATTGACTTAAGGGCAGAACACAAAAGATATGGAAAGCATTCAGATTAAGGTAAGGTAGCATATACTTAGAAGTGTTTTGGAAGCAGGTAAGCAGAAGATGGTCTTGTGGTGAGCATGGAGAAGAAAGTACACTAA